TTGGGACTCTATTTGTGACTGGTTTCCACATCTGTAAACCCTGGCAAAACGTTGCCTCACCATTCCAACCAACTCAGTGGATGCTTAGTGTGCCATCTCAGTATACAGACAAGTGTTCACCCCAGAGACAGAGGATGTCAGTACCAACTGCTACTGGATGCTGCATGCTAGCCTTTAACAGCTAGCATGAACTGCCTGTCTCAAAATTGGCATCAATTAAATTGCTTTTTACAATGTGATTTAATAAAAGTATAGTGATGGTATTAGTTACAATTCATATTGTGCATACCTTTAATTTCATAAGACATTTCAGTTTGCAGTTTAATTCAATGCTTGGCTTTGCTTAATGTTTCCATTAATGGCTTCTGTGGGTTTAATCATGGTAATTAAGCCATGGTTTGGGGCCATCTACCAATCTGTGGTGAGGGGTGGGACTGCCAGGGCCCCTTGGCCAATCAGAGGTGTGGGGGAGGGCAGGGCAGGGATGAGAGCCGCTGCCATATGCCCATGAACATGGTGGCCAGCCCCGGGATCTGGCTGCAAAAGCAGCCACCTGCGTCCTTGATTTGGCTATGTCCCTATCTATAGTTCCCAAAACATTTTGCACTGTTCTGGTCTTTGAGGTTTTTGCAATGGAAGAGTTACTCAGTTTTTCTATAGTCAAAAAATGAGTGAAAACAAAGAGCTGGTATTTTCCAAGGACTGCCCTGAGTCTAACAAGGGGTGGCTGAAGGCTAAGAAGGTTGAGGACTGTTGCATTAAAAGTCTGGGCCATACTGAAGGAGGAAGATGACATATCTTGTATTGCTATCTATTCATTAAATATATATATTCATACATCTATATCTGATATTGCTAACTATTCATTGAATGAGGCAGTGATCATTGAAGACCAATTTAGTACTGGGACATAAAACTTACCTTGCAAAAGGAAGTGGAACAAATGAGAAAAAACATTAAGCCCAACACCCAAAGGCAAGCCTGATGAATGAAAACTACAAAACTAATTCTACGTATACGACATGTAAAATATTTAGAGATAACACCTCATAGTAGGCTAGTATAGAAGAGCTTCAGAGAACGAAGACATTAAAATTTCCTCCTTACAGGTTTATTCAACATAATGTCACTTTTCATTAGTACACAAAACACTAGGAGTGGGAGAAAAATTACAAGTCTTTTTTGCATGGGGTGGGAGGTAAGGCACGAGTAAGAGTAAATTCATGTAAATCATGGTTGTCAGTGCAGACAAGGGCTATGAAGCAAGATCATTTTCAGTGTGTTGCTATTGGTAGGTTAGCCCAGAACTGCTCACTTCATTGTTTTTGCCGTAGCTGGACCTAGTCTGATCCTCTCCAGCAATTCCTACTGATATACAAGGCAGAGCAGGGCAACAGGCAAAGGAGTGGGAGAAATGGCCTGGTTCTCATCATATAAGCAGCAGATGTCTGTATGCACAAGTGGTGTGTGGGAGATGTTCTCCAGCAAATTACAGTGATACAGGGACTGTTTCCATGAAATTAGAGATTGGATCCAGAGATTAGAAACAGCACGTGCCACTCAACTAGCAATACTCTGGCTGCCAGACAAATCCTACGCCCGTGTCAAGTTCTTGGTCCTTATCTTTAAACCCCAGCTACTGCAGCAAAAGCCACTTTTCATGCTTCAATGACATGGCTGCATTCCACAGCAACACCACAGGGACACATCTATGTAGGTATTTGTACCAGGCTCATCTAGGACAAGTTCAAAAGGGACACACAAGTTCAGTGGAATTTGCTACCATCAAAAAAAACCCATGAGGATCTGAAGTCTGTAGCCCTTGGATCATGAAGGAACAGTCATCTCTTTCAGCTGGCCTCCCACTCAGAGCTCAGCTGTGAAATGGTTGCCCTTTGAGAAAGCCACATTTGATTCACCTACTTTAAATCAAGTACTTAGTAGGGAGAAGAGGTAAAAAACTGGTTCTCTCTGAAAGAAAACTGCATGTCTAAACTGATGCAAATTCTCTGATGATGGAGGGCACCAGTTCTAATGATAAACAGTAATCCCAGAAGAATGAGGAAGGGCTCCTGACCTGGGGCCTCAGACCTCCTCTGCAGGTTTATGTTCCAGAGTAGGACCTCTCCTCTCCTAAGAGTAGAAGGGGCCTTGAAACTTCTTCTGTCACTGACAGAGTTACTGAAAACTGACACAAAGCAATCCCAACTCACAGCAGCCTAGAAGGAGAACCTGGCCTGAAGCATCACATCCAGACATCTCATTTAATACTGAACAGGAAGTCACCATATGGAGTTTTGCTTCCTCTTTCTTTTTTTTTTGTCAATAACCAAAATCAGCCAGCTGTCATCCAAAGCTCTGTTTGGTCCCTTATTTTTCCAGATTTCCCACCTCTCCTTTGGAAAATACTCCAGTGGTTTTTCTTTCTTCCCCCTACCTGTTTGTGTTCTCTAGGACTTCCACTTTCTTACGCAACTCACTGTTTTCATTGGAACAGGACTCAACCCTGGGGAAGACACAAGGAGAGGGAAAAAAACAACACTTAGACAGTTCAATGAAGGGCTGAACACGTTCCAACTTGATTTTCCTGGACAACTCTATGGACCTGTCTATATTAGGGGGAAAAGCACTGTTACAAGCTTCTCTTTCGATGTTTTGACTTCACACCAGATGTAAAACACCTTGTAATAGGTTACACCTGACATTTAGCAACTAAAGGTTGCACCAGCCTGGACTAAGGTTTTGAGGCCAGCACAGTTCAATCCACGTCAGTTGCACTAATTCTTTCTTGGCAGAGACAGAACATCAGACAATCTGTTCAGATGAACTCCCTAGGTCCATCCCACCATGTAGTCTCATGACTAAAAGTTACCCAGAAAAATCTCTTTTTGCAATGAAAAACTGGATAATGGATACTAAAATAAGCTATGGATCATACTAAAAAATATACCTCTCAAGTGTAGGATGTACAGTCTTCTTTGGCACAGGGTGCAAGGAAGAAATAAGAGTTTTGGCACTTCAGCGCAGTAATTTTGTGGGCCAAATTCACTAGAAGAATGTGTATCGTCCTTTTTGAAGGAGACTGACTATTCCCATGCTCTTTCTCCACCTCCTCACTCCCCCAAGCAGTCCTCAACCACTTTTACCTCTCATCTGCTCATCATACCACTTGAAGACAAGGAAGTTGCTCATGAGACCAGCTTCCCCAGGCTGCTTACTGAACAAGAAAATCCTGCAATGTAGCCATGTAGAATACAAATGCTGGAAAATGCCAGTGTTAAAGTGGCAAGACACTGGGAGTGCCCTTGTCTCCCCTGCTGTAAGCTATGGCAAATTAGAGGGTGTCCTTGGTGTTTTGGGTAAGTGCCTTGTAGTTAGGCATGAGGGTTTGAAGTGATGCTTTTGAGGATTCTTTGGGTTAATGACCATCTGCAAATGCAGGGCAGTGGACTTGATGCCCCAGGAAAGCTTTTCCAGTGCTATGTTCAAGATACTCCATAGGGCACAAGGATACTATCCCCAGTGAAACCAAGAACAGCCAGTCAACCTCAGGTCTGTGAAACAAGCTACACTCAGGAATTGCCACCACCTTATATTCTGCTTCAATGCTACTGTAAAACTGAGAAGAGTCGGCGCAATGCGCTGAGTCTTAACATATAAATATTTGTCTCACAAATACATTTTTATCTGAAGAACTAAAAAAAAACACCTGTTTCCTTTCCTGGACAAGAACTTTCTTTTTAAACTACCACTAGGTGGCATATGAAACACATTCTACACAAACTCAACAGCTGGCTAGGATACCCTGCCATTTCAGCAACTGGTGTCATTGGTTAGTTTGAAAGGTGAGCTGGCTTACTTTTTTTCCAGACTGTCCATGTATTCTTTCTTCTTTCTTCTACTTTCCTGGGCAGAAATCTAAGGGAAGGAAAAGCACCATACAAACATTTTTATAATGAAAGGACGCTACAGAACCAACCTTCCAGCTTTACTTGGTTCCAGGGCAGGCATCAGAAAGACACTTATCGAGGGATACATGACCTTGAGAGTTCCCTTCCAGGCTTACTTCTTTATGATTCTAATATGTGCCAGGCCACATGTGTACACTACAATGGCAACTCCCATTTTTACTTGCACACTCATGTGCCCTATCTGCCACAGAGGCGACTGTGTACTTCAGTGCCCAAGGATGTGCAAAATTATGCACAGATAACCAGGATGGTCAATTTTAAAGACCAGCCATTCCCTAGGCTGAAAGAATAGCTAGGTACTTGGGACATTTCAGCTTTCTAGCTTCAGAATCTCAGGGAATAACGAGCAGGGCACTGTGATACACAGGATCATTTAGAAGCACAAAACAAGTGGAAATTTCATCACTGAGTAAAAAGGACACAGAAGCTTTCTCTAGACAAGGAAAAGAGATGTGTTTTCTTCTAAAAAGCTGGCCAATGTGATTTGATACACTAGTTAGCATCCAGCCTAGACACAGGCTAGTACCTTTATGGCCCCATTACCTTAAATGGTGCCCAGACAGGAAGACACAGTGATCTGTGCCAAGTATGTACCTGGGTACAGAGGGGTGCTGTCTCTGATGGGTAATTTTAGGAGTGTGTTGAAGGAAAGATATCTTCAATGTAACAAAACAATACAGTATCTGAGATACTGTACATCATTACAGACCACTATTGTAGAACCACTGTAGCATTTCTGCATGAGGGAATCATTTAGCAAAGCCACAGAGTTAAAAAATGTTACCTTGTTTTTTATTTTCCTGCGGATTTTCTTCAGTGCTTTTTCCTCTGCTTTTGTCAAGGGTAGCTTTGTAGGGATGGGATACCCCTCTGCTATCAGAGTCCTCTTCTCCTCCTCTGTCAAAATCAATGGACCTGTCCCCTGAAGTTTCTGCATGCACCAGTGATGAAGGGTAAGGAAAGGCAGAGAAATAGTAAGATCATCCAAGAATCAGTAGATCTTGGAGAATGGGATCAGGGTTGTGGGGAGGGGGGCTGCGGGTTAGGGCTCCCTGGCTTCACAGATCTCCTTTTGCCTATTCTTAGTTTCATCCACCCACAAATGGAGGGGGGGAGGGAGGAGAAAAATGCCCAAAGGAATTCAGCTTCTAAAAACACTCAGCATTCTGAGTCCACTGAAGTCATTGGTAAAACTCGCACTGACCTGAATGGGATCCGAGTTAAATTAGTGAGGAGGACAGGATTGACAACAGTGATAGAGTTAATTACCTAACCCCCAAGACAGTGTCAGGCAATCCACTAATGCATGGGCTGCCTGGATCTTTATCAGTTGGAGCACCTTTAATGACAAATAAACAGTATGTGCCATGTGAGAAATGGCATCACCATTTTATTTCAAGCTCAAAAGACACTGGTGGGAACACCAAAGCCTGACAACTAGATTTGGAGACTCACCCAAAAGAAATTTTGTTTGTCTCTCAAAAAGGGGTAACAAATTACATACAAGGTAACTAAACAAGAGGAGGTGCCCCCCAACTTACATGTGGTGCTGTCAGGAGGGGGGAATTGGAGAGGGATGAAGCCGCACGTGAGGTCACTTTAGCTGTGCCCTGTAGTTGGATTGGGCTTGATGGAGGAAGGGATCTGGTTGGACTCTGCCCACCCTCAGAGTCACTGCCATGGCTACTGGGAGGGGTTGGAGGCAAGTGCAAATTCACTGCTGAATGGGAAAGGAGAAAGAAAAACAAAGGATTTCATCATAAAAGGCCAAGTCAGGTGTTCTCAGTAAACTACCACCAGCTTTAAAAAACCAGGGGCAAGTCAGCACTGAGGGCCGTTTGTTAAAAAGCTGACAGCACAGAAGTGGAACCTTTGAATGTGCAGAGTCCCCAAGCAGAGACTTGTCAGTGCAGAGACACCCCCAGCCTTTCAGAGAGGCTGTAAATAGACATGGTCCTGAAACATTTAGTCTAGCAGCAGACGGTTATTTGGAGGGTTAAGCAGTTTTGTTCTGTTGGGGTGCATCAAATGGATAACCCTTGTTACTGCAGAAAGAACTTGCCCCATTCCCTGCCAGCTAGTTCTGTGTGGGAGCCCAGTTTGAGCCCATGGCACCTCTGCTGATATTGCTAACCTGGGTATTACTTAGTGCCAGATTCATAGGAAGATCTCTTATGTGGATACCTGTCCAGGATAAAGCAGGGCAAACTCACTCATTTATTTTTCATAGGCCACCTAGCAGATGCCCATAGTGGCACTGACTTAGAGTTGCTGTTGACCTGGGCCAAATTTTAAATGATTGCAAGTGAGAAGGAGAGCTGAGGGTTCAACCTACCATTCCATTCATGCTTTGTAAATTGAAGCTAAAATGTAAAGCAGGTAGTGTGGGAGAGAAGAACAAAATCAGGAAAGCTGATTGTCTTGACCAGTCTAGACTGGTCCTTTAATCATCTACTGTCACTACCATCAAGCAGCCAGTACCTGATACACAGAAGATAGAAATCCCCTTAATGCAACCAGCCACTGGTGTAATGCTATATATTTAGGGTGACAATATGTCCTGTTTTAGCCAGGACAGTCCTGGATTTCAGAGGCTGGTCTCAGCCAGCTGTTAGGAATTAATAGGCATCCTGCAAAAACAGGGGCACAGTCTGCAGTATGTGACAGAGTGCCTTGCAGCGGGGCAGGCAGGCTGGCATGCAGCCCCACCCCCACAAACTTGTGAGAGCATGGAGGGGTAATGGTGGGGGCAGTGTCTGATATTTCCCCAGTTATGTCCCAGATTTCCATATGATCAGCCTACTTATATTAGGCCAAGTACTGGCTGACCCCTACCTACCACCCAGCCAATTACTGCACTCCCTGCAACAGGAGTTTTGCTCTGCCTTATCTGACACAACAGTCAGAAAATTATCTACTCACAAATACAGCCAGATCCCTTGACATTTTGTGGCAAATGATTCCATGAGCTACCTGACTTCCTGTTGCACAAAGTTGTATATTATCTTTGGGTATGGGTCTTTTTGGTCTATGTCTGTACAGCACAATGAGATCCTGACTTAATGGGGAGCTCCAAGACACTACAATCATTTGTGCACCTGAATGGACTTCCTGCTTACTTTGTCAACTTATCCCTTTATCTGTGTGCCATCTGACAAAGTAAAAAAAGGACAGTCAGATTCCACTTTTCTGAACATCTCAGTCACATCTAGTCAAAATGCATCTGTTTTCTATGCTAAATAAATTCTATACCTTCAGGGTTTGAGTTCTCTGAAAACTGTCCAATCAGTTACATGATAAAGATAGAGCAGATTCATATTCTTTAGACTCTTATGTTTTTTTTGGAAGCTGGAATCTGTTCCCTAGAAGGTGTCCCAACTTTGTCTAGAGACAAAATAGCTGGCTTTCCAGTTCTCTTGGCTAAACAGGTTCAACTTTATTCATACCACATTCTGGCCATCAGTACAGTAGCTTGGGCTAGTAATTAACAAACCTTCCTTAGAAGAGAGGTTCAGGAATTGATCCACTTCATGTGGCTCCAGCTTAATCTCTGGAAGAACTTTCTGGCTCAATGGTTTACTCTAAAGGAGAAAGCATGGGGTGGGGGGCAGAAAATTAAAATGCAAGTAGAAGGACAGAGTCAGTTTCTCCATAAACAGACAGGCTTCACTCCCCTCCCTGTCTGCATCAGAGAGCTTTTTATTGCTTCCCTGTAACTTATTAACCCAGGTAAGTGAGACTATTGCCCTGCAACTAGTTGCTGGGCCCTCCATTACTACTATATTTACTTAAATAAAAGATTACTTCTCAGGATGACATTTCAGACTGAAAGGCACACTCCAATTACTTTACTTGGTAACAGCACTGCCACTAGGATTTGCCTGACAACTACAGAAGATTCTGCAGATAGAGAGCACTTTTCTTTTGCGGGAAAAGTCTGGCAGCCTGGATAGGTCAGGGCACTCAGCAGTACCAGGGCAGTATCAGGGGAGCTATCACCTGGGAGAGAGATCAGGGTGTTTAATCAGTAAGAGTCAGGATATTGGACCCAAGTTTGTTTTGCAAGCAGAGGAGCGGGGGATCAAGGGGGTCTAAGACTGCAGTATAGGCCTGGAGAT